CACGTACAGCCCAGCCAGCCAGGACTCCCTCCACGAGGACTCTGTCAGAGGATTGGTAAAGCTCAGCTCTGTCTGATGAAAGGATGTGCACCCACTCCTCTCACCTCCTGAAAACTTGTGTCCCCTGAAACTCTCCTGTGCCACTTTCAGAACGAGTTTCCTTTCTCTCATGAGCAGAACTTGAACTGAAAAAAAAGGCTATGGTTTAAATTCAGCTGCTAGAAACTGTGTGGACTATAAACTGAAGTGAAAACCAGTTGTTCTCAGTCAATGTCTTGCCAAACTTGTCTGCTGAAGCTGGGACAATTGCTCCTGGTGTGGTGTAATTCATTAGCTCCTGGAGACTGGACAAGGTTAGTTGCTTTTTTAAAGTGGCATATGTCTGTGAGCCATTTCAAGCAAAAAACAAATAGACATTTAAACTGTACATGACGTTTTTGACAGAAAGTCAGCCTTCTGACCAGTAGAGCACAGATCTGACAGGTTTTTGTAAAACCTCACCCTGTTTGCCTGTTGCTAACTGGAGTGTATCCTTCAACTTTTTTTTTCATGGACTATTACAGCAATGCAATGGTTGACATCATGTTGCATATCATCCTGTTTTTTTCTATGTTTAAAAAAATCTTGTACTGTACCATGGTTATTACAACTCTTACAACTTCTATTTCCTGTGGATATTAAAAAAAACACCAACTTTTATCTGATATTTTACTAATATTGGGGTTTAGAAGAAATAATGTGGGCTAACCTGAGTGTCATGTTATAGAATTTCCTTTAAAGTTTGTTTTGTGACCAACGCCTGTGGTCATTAGATGCTAATGAGACAAGTCAGTTTGATGAAAACCCTAAAAAGAGGGACTCGAGGGAGAAATCAGTTTCTTCAGGCAAATAAATATAAGATTAGAAGTCACTGACGGGCAGTGGTTGATGAAGGTACATGATTGTACTTAGTAACAGATTCTCCACCTTGTGGTAAAGCTGGAATACTGCAGTTGAATGTTTGTTGAAGTAAAATGCTTTTTTTTTCTCCTCACAAAGTTCGAGCTGAAATATAGCATAACTATTAAAAACCCAATGTAAAATTATTAATATACACTCACTGGTACACCTCATTAGGTACACCTCTACAGTTGTACACAATTCCATACAACACATCTGCCTTAACTGTTTATGAAGCTCAAAATGTTTGTTTTTGCTGAAATTGTCAAATGAATAAATGTTTATTATTGTGGTCATATTTAAAGGTGGTAATGTACTGGACTACATTTTATTCAGAGGTGCCTCTATAATTTTTGTCTTCCCCAATTCCATACATGAGTGTCAGAATATTAGGAACACCTCTGAATATAATATCAGTAGAACACCTTTAAACTATGACCTCAGTAATAAACAATTGAATTTATACATTTGACAATTTCAGCACAAAATCATTTTGAGCTTCATAAACAGATGTGTTGCATTGAAGTGCATACAATTGTACAGGTGTACCTAAAAGTGGCTGGTGAGTAGCTGGTTATCAAATAGTCACCTGATATCTAACTGCTCTGACGTTTAATGTAGACTCAAAGGGTGGATCAAAAAATAGCAGTAATACATTTATTATTAAATTATCAAACAGATTTTTTTCACAAATTTTACAGCAACAGAAAGCCATAGTTGATGATGGCTTTGCAGCACTGAGATGAAACTTGGTGACAAAGCAGGATACTATACACTTGTAGCTTGCATAAAAATTGCAAAATATCATTTGGTTATTTAAAAATTAAGTTGCACTCACCCTGTGCTGCGATGTGCTTGAGTTCTTTTGCTGCATCATTTCATGTCTAATTTAAATTTCGAGCACTAAAGATGCTGGCATGCATTACAGAATTCTATGGATTATGAACTCCATAAAAAAGTTTTAAAAAAATTGTGGACATACTAAAATTTCATTTTTAAAACTAGATAAATGCATTTCCTGAAGAAAATGCGTGTGGATGCTGAAGAATTGCCCTGAAAATGCTGAAATAGCTGAAATCCATTGCTGAAACTAACTTGGATAACACCACTGGCTTTTGTAGGGCAGGTCAGGGTTCAGTTCCCGGTCAGGGTTCAGTTCCCTGTCAGGGCATGATAAATCGTTTTGTGAGTGTGATTTAGATCCCTGTGCAATCTGTCTCATGTGCCTATGGAATGAATGTCTTCTTGAATAGCAACCAATATATTCTAGCCTATTAGACGATCCTGATTTCTGGATCTATATGTCTATATATTGTATATGTATGTGGCTCCAGCTTGGTGGTGTGGTTGCTAAGATCTGATGTGAACTAAATTAATTCAGGCAAATTATCCCAATTCCAATAATTATTTCTTATTACAATAATACTGAACAGTTCAATAAGTTGTAGGACAATGCAGCAATCTGAAAGATGGGGGACAGAATCACCACTCCTGCATAAAAAATAAACAATAGTATTAGATAAGAGAATTGCCAAAAAATGTCATTGTTGGCCCTACAGTCACCGTCGGTCAGAATCCAGAGTCGGTGCCCCTCTCCACTCGACCAGGTCCAAACACACACTCACCACCGCAACACCATCATACTCTCTAACCCACAGCTATTCTAACTTTTATCTTCTCCTATTGCTTAAGCCAGAGTTTTATGCCAGCCCTACACCCCTTCTCCCAGGAATTGTCTGAGATGTCCAGCATGTGAACTTCTAGGTCGCACTGACCCAGCACACATTTCCTTTTCTAAACATGAACTTAAAAGTGAGCACATGAACAGCTGAAGTTATGTCCAACTTTAAGCTTCCCATATAAGGGAGGCTGCTCTCTAAATGTTTATTCACAACATGAACCCATAAGATAAACAAAGAGGGCACCAGTCAGGATATTCTTGCTTGAGCAAGCTATCGGTGCACAGTTCCCATGGTCTCCATGCACAAACACCCTCAAACATTTCAGGCAGCAGAACAGATCTCTCCAAGATTATATAAACACTTAGCTGACCCCTACATGACTATCAGCTATTACCTACTGCAGATATCTATATGTAATCTACACTGAGGCGACAGTGTTTCAGTGGGTAGAGCAGTCATCTCCCAACGGAAGGTTGAAGGTTTGAATCTCGGTGCCTGCAGTCAAAGTGTCCTTGGACAAGACACTGAGTGCCTCCCCTCGTTGGAGCCATCGGTTGAGTTGACGCAGCAGATGGCTGCCTCGGTTCTGTACCGGAAATAATTTCCTTGTGTATAACATACTTGGCCAATAAAGGTGATTATTATCCTAACCATATCTATATGTAATCTAACTCTAATCGAACTGGTTTGTTTTAACCACTACATTGATTTCAGGATTCACACGAGTAAAAAAGCCAGAGTAATTAATCAAAACATCATGACTCTGTGGCTAAATGAAGCCTGAAATACTGTACGGAGCCTCCTGAAACCAGCATGGTGGCAACACGAAGAAAGGTGAGTGTTAGAAATTAACCCAATTCTTTTGTTGGAAGCACGAGAAGTGACGACAGGAGAGGACTGTTTAAACTCAACAGAAAGTTTACTGAAAGTCTGATCACAGCCTTACAGTGCTGGGATCAGAGAGATAGAGCTCCCGCGGGAGTTCCATCCACTGAACCCGAATTAAGGTCTTACAATAAATTTTATCTTCTTGGGCTGCTCTGCACTAAACAAAGGTACAACAATTCATGCATTGTAATCCTATTGGTCATTTGGTGTGAGCAGGAGCTCGCACCTCCTTGCTGGAATGTGATCTACACCAAGTGTGTGTGTGTGTGTGTGT